GACCTCCTGACCTCAGGTGATCCACCCGCCTCAGCCTCCCAAAGTGCTGGGATTATGGGCATGAGCCACTATGCCCTACCCAGGTTATCTAGGTATACAATCATATCATTGGCAGATAGTGACAGTTTGACTTCCTCTTTTCCAATTTGGATGCCCTTTATTTCTTTCTATTGTCTGATTGCTCTGGCTAGGACTTCTAGTACTATGTTGAATGGAAGTGGTGAAAGTGGCATCCTTGTTGTGTTCCAGTTCTCAGGGGAATGCTTTTAACTTTTCCCCATTCAGTATGATGTTGGCTGTGGGTCTGTCATAGATGGCTTTTATTGCTTTGAGGTATGTCCCTTCTATGCCAATATATAAGTATATTTTTGACAGAGTCTCACTCTGTCATCAGGCTGGAGTGTGGTGGTGTGATCTCGGCTCACTGCAACCTCTGCCTCCCGGGTTCAAGTGATCCTCCTGCCTTAGCCTCCTGAGTGGCTAGGACTACAGGCACACACCACCACGCCCAGCTAATTTTTTGTATTTTTAGTAGAGACGGGATTTCACCATGTTGACCAGGATGGTCTCGATCTCTTGACCTTGTGATCTGCCTGCCTCAGCTTCCCAAAGTGCTGGGATTACAGGCTGAGGCACTGCGCCCTGCCCTATGCCAATTTTTCGAGGGTTTTTATCATGAAAGGATGTTGGATTTTATTGAAGTTTTTCTGCATCTATTGAGATGATCATATGATTTTTGTTTTTAATTATGTTTATGTGATATATCACATTTATTGATTTGCATATAGTGAACAATCCCTGCATCACTGGTGTAAAACCCACTGGATCATGATGTATTATCTTTTTGATATGCTGTTGGATTCTGTCAGCTAGTATTTTGTTGATGATTTTCTGCATCTATGTTCATCAGGGATATTGGTCTGTAGTTTTCTTATTTTGTTATTTCCTTTCCTGGTTTTGGTATTAGGGTGATACTGGCTTCATAGGATGATTTAGGGAGGATTTCCTCTTTATCCTTTGGAATAGTTTTTGTAGGATTGGTATCAATTCTTCTTTGAATGTCTGATAGAATTCAGCTGTGAATCCATTTGGTCCTGAACATTTTTTTTGTTGTAGGCAATTTTTTTTTTTTTTTGAGACAGAGTCTCACACTGTCACTTGAACTGGAGTGCAGTGGTGTGATCTCGGCTCATTGCAACCTCTGCCTCCCGGGTTCAAGCAATTCTCCTGCCTCAGCCTCCCAAGTAGCTGGGATTACAGGTACCTGCCACTATACCCGGCTAATTTTTTTGTATTTTTAGTAGAGACAGGGTTTCACTATGTTGGCTGGGCTGGTCTTGAACTCCTGACTTTGTGATCCACCTGCCTCAGCCTCCCAAAGTGCTGGGATTACAGGTGTGAGGCACTGCAGCTGGCAGGCAATATTTTAAAAAAACTACTGATTCAATCTTGCTGCTTGTTATTGGTCTGTTCAGGGTCTCTATTTCTTCCTCATTTAATCTAGGAGGGTTGTATATTTCTGTATATTTCAAGGAACACATCCGTCTTCTGTAGATTTTCTAGTTTGTGCACATAAAGGTGTTCGTGGTAGACTCGGATAATCTTTTGCATTTCTATGGTAGCAGTTGTAATATGCCCAGTTTCATTTTTTTACCCTTTCATTTGTCAATGGGCACTTTGGTTGTTTCCATATATTGGTTATTATAAATAATGTTTGTAATGAACATGGGGGTGCAGATATTTTTACTAGGGGTAATTTCATTTCCTTTGGGTATATACCCAGAAGAGGCATCGCTGGATCACATAATAGTTCTATTTTCAGTTTTTAAAGGAGTATCCATACTGTTTTTCACCCTGGCTGCACCAATCTGCATTCCCACTAACAGCATACAAGGGTTCCCCTTTCCCTGTACCTCAGCCAACACTTACTTTTTCTCTTTTTGATAAAAGTCATCCTAACAAGCATACGATGATATTTCATTGTGGTTTTAATTTGCATTTCCTTGATGATTAGTGATGTTGAGCACCTTTTCTTATACCCGTTGGCCATTTTATGTCTCCTTTGAGGAAAGTCTATTCCAGTCCTTTACTCATTTTTAAATTAGATTATTCTTTTTTTATTTTTGGCGATTGAACTGTGTAAGTTCCTTATATATTTTGGATATTAACCCCTTATCTGATATATGGTTTGCAAATATTTTCTCCCAATCCATAGGCTGCCTTTTAATTTGGCTGATTATTTCCTTTGCTGTGTAAAAGCTTTTAAGTTTGTTGTAGTCCCACTTGTTTACTTTTGCTACTTGTGCCTATGGTGACCTAGCCACAAAATCATTGCTGAGAACAATGTCAAGGAGTTTTCCCTCTATGTTTTCTTTTAGGAGTTTTAAAATTTTAGGTCTAATGTTTACATCTTTAATACATTTTAAGTTGATTTTTGTATATGATGTAAGATAAAGATTCAGTTTTATTCTTTTGCATGTGGATATCTAGTTTTCCCAATATCATTTATTAAAGAAACTATCCATTCCTGCACGGTGTCTTCTTGGTGCCCTTGTTGAAAACTAGTTGACCATATATGCCTGGGTTTATTTATTAGCTTTCTCTATTCTGTTCCATTTGTTTATGTGTCTGTTTTTATGCCAGTACCATTTTTTTTTATTGTTATAGTTTTAGGGTAGATTTTGAGGTAAAGCAAGGTAATGCATCCAGCTTTGTTCATTTTGCTAAAGACTATCTTGGTTGGCCAGGCACAGTGGTACACACTTGTAATCCCAGCACTTTAGGAGGCCAAGGTGGGTAGATCACTTGGGCTCAGGAGTTTGAGACCAGCCTGGGCAACATGGAGAAACCCCATCTCTACTAAAAATACAAAAATTAGCCAGTCTGCTGGTACATGCCTGTGGTCCCAGCTTCTCTGTAAATTGAGGCAGGAGGATTATTTGAGCCAGGGAGGTGAAGGTTGTAGTGAACTGGGATCGTGCCACTGCACTCCAGCCTGGGTGACGGCGAGACCCGGTTTTAAGAAAAAAAAGAAAGAAAGAAAGAAAGAAAAAAGATTGCCTTGGTTATTAGGGGTCTTTTGTGATTCCATATTAATTTTTTTTTTCTATTTTCGTGAAAAGCGATATTGAGATTTTGATAGCGATTGCATTGACCGGTACTGGTTCATGGCCTGGGGGTTGGGACTCTTGGATTAAAGGCTTAAATGTAAGACCTGAAACTATGAAACTAATAGGCAAAAACATTGGAGAAACACTCTAGGATGCTGGTCTAAGCAAAGATTTTTTTGAGTAAGACCTCAAAAGCACAGGCAACAAAAGCACAAATAGGCAAATGGGATTGCATTAAGCTAAAAAGCTTCTGTTGCAGTAAATGAAACAATCAAAAGTGAAAAGACAACCTACAAAATGTGAAAAAACATTTGTAAGCTATCAATCCAACAAGGGATTAATAACCAGAATATGTAAGAAACTCAAACAACTCAACAGTAAAAGAAAAAAGTGATTAAAAAATGAGCTAAAAACCTGAAAAGACATTTCTCAAAACATACAAATGGCCAACAGGTATATTTAAAAACGCTCAGTATCACTTATCATCAGGAAAATGCTAATCACAACCACAATGAGATATTATCTCACCACAGTTAGAATGGCTATTATAAAAAAGACAAAAAATAAGACATGCTGGTGAAAATGCAGAGAAAGGAGAACTACTGTAGACTGTAGTACGAATGTAAAGTAGTACAAGCACTATGAAAAAGAGAATGGTGGTTCCTCCAAAACTTAAAGACAGAACTACCATATGATCCAACAATTCCACTGCTAGGGATATATAAGGAAATCTGTATAGTGAGGACTACCTGCACTCCTGTGATTATTGCAGCACTAGCACTATTCACAATAGCCAAGATATGGAATCAACCTAGGTGTCAATCGAAGGATGAATAAATAAGAAAATGTGGTATATATACACAATGGAATATTATTCAGCAATAAAAAGAATAAAATCCTGTCATTGCAGCAACATGGATGGAACTGGAAGTCATTATGTTAAGTGAAATAAACCAGGCACAGAGAGACAACATTTTATGTTCTCACTCGTATGTGAGAGCTTAAAAAGTGGATCTAACAGAGGTAGAGAGTGGAATGGTGGTAACCAGAGGGTAGGAAGGGAATCGTGGAGAGGGGGATGAAGAGAAGTTGGTTAATGGCTACTAACATACAGTCAGATAGAAGGAATAAGTTAAAATGTTTGCTAGTAGAGTGACTATAGTTAACAACAATGTATTATGTATTTCAAAATAGCTAGAAGAGAAATATAATGTTCCCAGCACAAAGAAAAGATAAATGTTTGAGGTGAGGGATGTCTCAATAATTTTAATTTGATCATTACACATTGTATACATATATCAAAATACTAAAATACCCCCAAATATGTATAATAATTATGTATTAATAAATATAATATAAAAATTCCAAGTTTTGGTTTTGGTAATCTTTTCTATTGTTTTTCTAGTATTGATTTATTTCTTCTCTGATCTTTATTTCATTTCTTCTACTAACTTTGGGCTTAGCTTGTTCTTTTTCTAGTTCCTTGAGGTATAACATTAGCTTATTTGAGATCTTTCTTCCATTTTAATGTAGGTGTTTATTAGCTATAATCTTCCCTTTTAGAACTGCTTTTGTTGAATCCCATAATTTTGGGGATATTTTGTTTCTATTTAGCTCTTCACAAGATATTTTTGTATTTCCATTTTGATTTCTTCTTTTACGCATTGGTTGTTCAGGAGCACATTGTTTAATTTACACATAGTTGTGAATTTTCCAAATTTACTCCTGTTTGTTGATTTCTAGTTTCATGCCATTTTGTCCAGAAAATATACTTGATTTGATTCAAATCTTCTTAAAGATGTTAAGACTTAGTTCAGTTGGGTCCTAGCAACGGTGTCTTCTGAGGCTCTCCGTGCCCTCTCCTTTTCACTTCCGGAAACATGGCCTCAGTGGTGGCTGGTCTCTGATGGTGTCATCAAGGTGTTCAATGACATGAAGTGCGTAAGTCTTCAACGCCAGAGGAGGCGAAGAAGCACAAGAAGGTGGTGTTCTTCTGCTTGAGTGAGGACAAGAAGAACATCATCCTGGAGAAGGGCAAGGAGATCCTGGTGGGCGATGTGGGCCAGACTGTCGACAACCCCTATGCCACCTTTGTCAGGATGCTGCCAGATAAGGACTGCCGCTACGCCCTCTATGACGCAACCTATAAGACCAAGGAGAGCAAGGAGGAGGACCTGGTGTTTATCTTCTGGGCCCCTGAGTCTGTGCCCCTTAAGAGCAAAATAATCTATGCTAGCTCCAAGGACGCCATCAAGAAGAAGCTGACAGGGATCAAGCATGAATTACAAGGAAACTGCTACGAGGAGGTCAAGGACCGCTGCACTCTGGCAGAGAAGCTGGGGGGCAGTGCCGTCATCTCCCTGGAGGGCAAGCCTTTGTGAGCCCCTTCTGGCCCCCTACCTGGAGCATCTGGCAGCCCCACACTTCCCCTCGGGGGTTGCAGGCTGCCCGCTTCCTGCCAGACTGGAGGGACTGGGAGGATACCAGCAGAGGGAGGGCAATCCCTTCACCCCAGTTTCCAAACAGATCCCACACCCCCTGGATTTCCCTCCTCCTTCCATCCCTAACGGTTCTGGCCTTCCCAAACTGCTTTTGATCTTCTGATTCCTCTTTGGTTGAAGCAGACCAAGTTTTCCCCAGGAACTCCAGTTGTGGAGTGACCTGTATTTTTTTTAACAACATCCCCACTCCCTACCTGTTCCTCCCCCTTCCCATGCTGCCAACTTCTAACCGCAATAGTGACTCTGTGCTTGTCTGTTTAGTTCTATGCATAAATAGAATGTTGTGGAGATGCCCCCTCCCTGTGCCGGCTGGTTTCTCTCACTTTTCCCCTGGTCATTGATAGTCATGGAAGCAGGGCCAGTAAGGGACCTTCGATTAAAAAAAAAAAAAAGAAAAAATGGTGTTAAGACTTGTTTTGTGGCCAAACATATGATCTTTCTGGAAAATGTTCCATGTGCTGATGAAAAGAATGTGTATTTTGCAGCAGTTGGGTGAAATGGTCTGTAACTGTCAGTTAGGTCTATTTGGTCTAGCGTGTAGTTTAACTTTGTTGATTTTCTGTCTGGATGGTCTATTTGTTACTGAGAGTGGGGTACTGAAGTCACCTACTGTTACTGTACTGAAGTGTATCTCTTCCTTTAATTCTATTAACATTTGCTTTATATACTTGGGTGCTCCAGTACTGGGTGCATAGATATTTATAATTGTTATATACTCTCATTGAATTGAACCCTTTTTATCATTATATAATATCCTTCTTTGTCTCTTTTTACAGTTTTTTGACTTAAAATCTATTTTATCAGATTTTAGTATAGCTACCCCTGTTCTCTTTAGTTTCCATTTTCATAGAAAATTTTTTTCCATCTCTTCACTTTCAGTCTATGTGTGTCCTTAAAGCCAAAGTGATTTTCTTGTATGTAGCATATAGTTGAATCTTGTGTTTCTTTTAAATTCATTCAGCCACTCTGTAGAATTTAATCCATTTATATTCAAGGTAATTATTGATAGATAAGGACCTGCTACTGCTGTTTTATTAGTTGTTTTCTGGTTACTTTGGTTTTGTTTTCTTTCTTTTTTGAGACAGGTTCTTGCTCTGTTGCCCAGGCTGGAGTGCAGTGGCATGACCTTGGCTCACTGGAGCCTTGACCTCCGGGGCTCAGATGATCCTCCTGCCTCAGCCCCTGAGTATCTGGGACTCCAGGTGTGTGCCACTATGCTTGGCTAATTTTTAAATATTTTGTAGAGATAAGGTTTGCCATGTTGCCTGGGCTGGTCTCAAACTCCTGAGCTTAAGCAATTCACCCACCTTTACCTCCCAAAGTGACGGGATTACGATTGTGAGCTACCGTGCCTGGTATTTCTGATTACTTCATCGATCTTTTGTTCTCTTCTTTTTCTTTTGCTGTTTTCCTTTGTCACTTGATGATTTTCAATAGTGATATGCTTTGATTCCTTTCTCTTTATCTTTTGTGTATTTGTATAGGTGTTTCTTTGTGAGTACTGTGAGGCTTACATATATCTTATAGTTATAACAAGTTATTTTGAGCTAAAAACAACTTAACTTTGATCACATCTTTAAAACTTTACACTTTTACTCCTTCCTCTCAAATTTTGTTTATGATATTTGTGGAGGTTAAAGCAACTTCATCCTGGATGCTTATCTGCCATGCTGACTTCTGATTAACCCTTGTTAATCAGAGGAATGCCTCTAAGAGCTCTACCTTAACTACTGTAAGTCCTGGCCTTAAGTCAAAACAACCTTGATCATAAATTTTGCCCTTATGCAGATTCACATAGCATTCTTGCCTTTCCCTGAGGGGTTTACTTCAATTGTCCTACACATTCCTTCCCTGTGGTATATAAGCCCTGGGTCTGGAGAGTAATGGTGTGGAGATCCACCGTCTCATCTGTGGCTGCTGGGACATGGCTTCTGCTTGTAAGACTCTATTAAATGTTTCTTTCTGAGAAACTGGATATGCCAGTCTCTTTCTTCAGCCTCTCAGCTTCTTTGGAATTAGGGGTAGGTTTGCATATGCCTGCCACTGCAGAACAGTGTCATAATTTACATTTTTTGTTTTGTTTTGTTGTTTTTGAATTCTTTTTTGTAGATATAGGGTCTTACTGTGTTGCCCAGGCTAGTCTCAAATGCTGGCCTCAAGCAATCCTCCTACCTTGGCCTCCAAAAGTGCTAGGATTACAGATGTGAGCCACCATACCCAGACTACATCTTTTAAAACTGTGTATTTAGTAACAAATTATTTTAGCTATAGTTTTTTTTAATACTTCTGTCTTTTAACTTTTATAGTATAACTAAAAATGATTTACATACCACTGTTATAGTACTAGAGTATTCTGAACTTGACTATATCTTTACTATTGAGTTTTTTTCTTTCATATGTTTTCTTTTCTTTCTTTCTTTCTTCTTCTTCTTCTTTTTTTTTTGATGGAGTTTTGTTCTGTTGCCCAGGCTGGAGTACAGTGGTGTGATCTCGGCTCACTGCAACTTCTGCCTCCCAGATTCAAATGATTTTCCTGCCTCAGCCTCCCAAGTAGCTGGGATTACAGGCACACCTCCATGCCTAGATAATTTTTGTATTTTTAGTAGGAACAGCATTTCACCATGTTGGCCAGGCTGGTCTCAAACTCCCAACTTCAGGTGGTTCACCCACGTTGGCCTCCCAAAGAGCTGGGATTACAGGTATGAGTTCCCAGCCCATATGTTTTCATTTTGTTAACAAGCATCCTTTGTTTTAACTCAAATAACTCCATTTAGCAATTCTTTTAAGGCTGGTCTAGTGGTGATAAATTCCCTCAGCTTTTCTTTGTCTAGGAAAGTTTTACGTTTCCTTTATTTCTGAAGGATAGCTTTGCTGGTTATAGTATTCATGGCCAGAAGTTGTTTCTTTCAACACCTTGAATGTATCAATTCCCTCCCTCCTGGCTTGCAAGTCTATGCTGAGTTAACCTTATGGAGTTTCCCTTGTATAGTTTATTTTCTTTTGCTAGTTTCAAAATTCTCTGTAATTCTTGACAATTTGACTGTACTATTCCTCAGTGTATTCTTCTTTGGGTTTATCTTTCTTGGGATTCTTTGAGCTTCATGAATCCAGATGTTCGTCTCCTTCGCAAGATTTGGGGAGTTTCAGACAGGCCTCTTTCTCCTTCTTGGATTCTCAAAATCTGTGCATTCATACACTTGAGGGTGTCCCCGAGGTTTCCGATGCTTTCTTCATTCCTTTTGTTGTTGTTGTTCCTCTAATTGGTTAATATTGAACGACCAGTCTTTGAGTTTTCCAACTGTTTATTCTGCATGTTTGAGTCTGCTATTGAAGCTCTCTATTACACTTTTCTTTATGGTATCCTTCAGCTCCTGGAATTGTTAGGTTCCTTTTTCATGGTTACTATTTCTTTATTAAAGTCTCATTTTGTTCATGTAGTGTTTTCCTAATTTTATTTAGTTGTATAACTGAATTTTCTTACATCTCATTATGCTCATTTAATTATTTTGAATTCTCTTTCAGGCAATTTGTAGATCTTCATTCATTTCAGTTCAGTTGCTGGAGCTTTATTAGTTTCCTTTGGTGGTGTTATGTGTGCCTGATTCTTCATTATCCATATAGTTTGCTTTGGTGTCTGCATTTGAAGGCAAAAGCACCACTTCTAGTCTTTATAGATTGGTTTCAGTAGGTTAAGAACTTCTCTTATTAGGCTCTCAAATTAATAAGATTGCCTCTGGGATCATGGTCAAATGGGGTTGGAGCTGGGTGACATGGTTACTTCTGTGTCTGCAGTAAGGTCTGCAGATGGCAGGCCTGTTACCAGGAGCTCTAGTGGGTATGGATCCTTTCTGGTCCCTGAGGAGATTAGAATGTCTCTAGGACCTTATTCCACAGGGCTTGTGCTGGGATGAAGATCCACTTCAGGGTCTACAGACAGTGGGCCTGATGCTAGGTGTACAGCCATGTATGGCTTCCTCTGTGTCCCTGGGAAACTTCCTGCTGGGTCACTTACTAGGTCTCTTGGCAGGCAGTACTATCCTGGTCCATGGCTGAGAGAGAACAGAATGAAGTCACAGGGGTATTTCAGTGTCCACAGCCAGACAGAGGTCAGCAAGCCTTTTCCACAGATTCAGGCAGGCATATCTCTCTCTGGGTTCCTGTGCCATAAGCAGTTCCAATCTCTGACCATTACTGGGAGGTGCTGCAGCCAAGTGTCACAACTATTTCAGAGTCTCTTGTGGAACTGAGGTTGGCAAAATGGCCCTGGGGACTCAGGTGGGTATGTCTCCTTCTGGGACCCTATGCCACTTCTGATTTCTGACCACTGCTGAGAGGGGCTACAGTCAAGTTTCAGAGCCATTTGGTACACGGTGGGGATTGAGGTCAGCAGGTCTGTCACCCTGAAGCATAAATGGGTGTGACTCCTCCCAGGTCCCTGGGTTAATGGGTCTAGTAGCAGGACTAGGGCCAAACATGACTCAGAGCTGAGTCAATAGGGAAAATGGGTCATTTCCAGATGGGCCAACAAGGGCGATTCTGCCCTCTCAAAAGGCCCTCTTTAGGCCAGGTGCAGTTGCTCATACCTGTAATCTCAGCACTTTGGGAGGCTTGCTTGAGCCCAGGAATTCAAGACCAGCCTAGAAACAAAGGGAGACCCTGTCTCTACAAAAAAATAAAAAAATTAGCTGGGCATGGTGAAACACATCATAGTCTAGCTACTTAAGAAGCTGAGATAGGAGGATTGCTTGAACCCAGGAGTTTGAGGCTGCAGTGAGAGCTGTGATTATGCCACTGCACTCCAGTCTGGGTGGCAGGGTGAGACTCTGTCTCAAAGAAAAAAAAGAAAAGGCCCTCTTGGTGTTGGGCTGCATCAGCGTTTCACAAACTCCTATCTGGATCCCAAAGCTTAACAAAAGCACTTTTGTCTGTGGATGCCTGTTAAATTACTATTGCTGTGGAGGGATATCTTGTCAACATTACTCCGCTATTGTTTTTATTTGGAGGTTTTAAGTATGGTTAAAGTGTAAATTAGGTTGGGTACAGTGGCTCACACTTGTAATCCCAGCACTTTGGGAGGCCAAGGCTGGTGGGTCACCTGAGGTCAGGAGTTCAAGACCAGCCTGGCCAACAGGGTGAAACCCTATCTCTACTAAAAATACAACAATTAGCCAGGTGTGGCGGCCTGTGCCTGTAATCTCAGCTACTTGGGAGTCTGAGGCAGGAGAAACACTTGAACCTGGGATGTGGAGGTTGCAGTGAGCCGAGATCGTGCCACTGTACTCTAGCCTGGGC